AGATGTGAGTTGAATATGAGGAGATGATGTCTAAAAAATAAAATTTAAGAGTGAGAGAGGAATGCACTGGGAGAAAGAGAAAGGGAGAGGTAGAATGGGGAAATTATTTCACCTGAAAGAGGTGAGAAAAAGGCTTTTACAGTGGAGCGGAAGAGGAGGGAGTTGAGGGCGAGTGAGTGAACCTTACTCTGATTAGAATTCGCTCAAAATTGGAATAACATACACACTCAATTGAGCATAGAAATTTATCTTAATCTACAGGAAAGTAGGAGGGGAAAGGGGTAAGAGTGGGGGCAGTGATAGAAAAGAGGGCAGATTGGGGGAGGGGGTGGTCAGAAACAAAACACTTTTGAGGAGGGACAGTGTGAAAGGAGAGAGCGAAAATAAATGGGAGGGGAATAGGATGGAGGGAAATATAATTAGCAGTAGTAACTGTGAAAAAAATTTTGAAGCAAGTTTCTCTGATAAAAGCCTCATTTCTCAAACATATAGAGAGCTGAGTCAAATTTATAAAAAATAAGAGCCATTTCCCAATTGATAAATGAGCAAGAGATATGATCAGTTTTGAGATAAAGTAATCAAAGTTATCTATAGCCATATGAAAAAAAATGCTCTAACTCACTACTGACAGGAGAAATGTAAATTAAAACAATTCTGAGGTACTACCTCATAGCTATTAGATTGGCTAATAGGACCACAAAAGTAAATGACAAATGGTGGAGGGGATGTAGGGAAAATGAGACATTAATATACTGTTGGTGAAGTTGTGAACTGATTCAACCATTCTGTAGAGCAATTTGGAACTATGCCCAAAGGGCTATAAAACCATGCATACTCTTTGACCTAGTAACACCACTACTAGATCTGTGTCCCGTAAGAGATTAAAAAAAAAAAGAAAGAAAAAGAAAAAGGACCTATATGTGCAAAATATTTATAGCAGCTCTTTTCTGGGGGTAAAGAATTAGAAGTTGAGGGGATGCCATTAGTTGGGGAATGGCTGAACAAGTTGTGGTACATGATTATGATGGAATACTAGAGTACTATAAGAAATTCTGAGCAAGATACTCTCAGAAAAACCTGAAAAGGCTTGCATGGGCTGATGCAAAGTGAAATGTGCAGTGTACGAAGAAAACAGCAATATTGTGCAGTGTTCATCTGTGAATGACTTGACTATTATCAGCAATGCAGCAATTCATGACAACTCTGGCTTAGGATGAAAGTTGCTATCCATCTTCAGAGAAAGAACTGGTGGTGTCTGAATCCAGATTGCAACATCCTTTTTTTTTTACTTTATTTTTCTTGAGTTTTTTTTATCTTTGTTTTCTTTCATAACATGACTATCATAAATATGTTTTGCAGGAGTGCACCTGTGTAACCTTTATAGAACTGCTTGCCTTCTCAATGAGGGGGGGAGGGGAGAGGGAGTAAGGGAGAGAATTTGGAACTCAAAGTTTTAAAAATGAATGTTTAAAATTCTTTTTACGTGTAACTAGGGAAAATTAAAATAAAATACTTAAAAATTCACCAAAAATGAGTATTATTCTATATCTTTTGACAGCTGTCATAAATCTCTTTTTTTACACAAAAATATTTTCTCTTCCCTTTTCATCACTAACCCACTCTCTACGAAAGGATCCGAAAGAGACAATGTACCTTATATAGATGTCAAACTTGTGACCACAAGTGTTGCAGGAAACAGATTAAAATATAATTGGGAAATGTTTAATAGAATAAATTAAAATACACTACAACATAGATAATGTTAATTTGTGGTTTTCCTAAGTCAAAGCCCAAAGAGATATATTTCTATTTGAGTTTAACACCACTGCATGATAATTGATCACTTTTATTTGCAATACTTCTGTCATTCTCAATTCTTAACTCTCACTCACTACATATATTTAATCAGCTGCCAGATCTTGTCACTTCTACATCCCCACCATTTCTCACATCTAACCTCTTTTTCCCTTCTCTTCGATGACACAGCCATCATCCCAGCTGAGGTCCTCATTGTCTCTCACCTGAAAAACAGGACCCTAGCTGGTTTCTCCATCTTAAGTCTCTCCTTTCTTCAATTCATCCCCCACATAAATACCAAAATGATATAGTGCAGATCTGACTATGTGTATACTACTCTCCAATAAACCCCGATGCTCTATAGAACTTACACAGTAAAATAAACAAATAAATAAAATTCTGTTTGGCAGAACTTGGTACCACCTACCTTTCTAGCCTTATTGCACATTACTTCCCTTTATACACATGAAGGTCCAGCCAAAATGGCCTTTTTATAGCTTTTTATGATGAAATTCTATTTCCTACCCTGAACTTAATAAAATCTTGTTAATATTCTACTGAATATTTTTCTACTTTTTAACCAATACCAAATAGTTTGATAATTACTGATTTGTAATATTATTTGAGGTCTAGAAATGCTGCACCTCTTTATTAATACTTTATTTTATTATTTTCCTTGAAATTATTGACTTTTTGTTATTTTATTTGGAATTATCATTATGTTGTCTAGGTCTATAAAGTAAGAGCAGCCAGGTGATACGGTGGATAGAGTGCTGGGCCTGGAGTCAGAAAGACTCCTCTTCCTCAGTTTGGAGCTGACCTCAGACACTTAGCTGTCTGACCCTGGGCAAGTTACTTAACCCTGTTTGCCTCAGTTCTTCATCTATAAAATGAGCTGGAGAAAGAAATGGCAAACCACCCCAATAATCTTTGCCAAGAAAACCCCAAATAAGGTCACAAGTAATCAGACATGACTGAAAGGACTGACGACAAAAAGTTTCATAAAGTATCTGCTTGGTAGTTTTACTGGCATGGTACAAATTCTGTAGATTAAATTAGGCAGTATCATTTTTTATTATATTTGCAAGATCCTGCTGTTACCTTTTAAATATCTCTCTAATTGCTTGGATTTTCCTTTATTTTCATAAATATTGTTTTGTAGCTATATTTACACAAGTCCTATGTGTATCTTGGCAGCTACATCACAAAATATGTTATACAGTTTGTAGTTAAATGAAATTTTTCTTTTTTTTCCTTTTTTTAGTATTATGCAAAAATATTGATGAATATTGTGGTTTAATTCAATTCAATTTGACTAGAATTTTTAATTAGCCTACTATGTGATAGTCATTGTGTTAGAAGGTAGGTATATGCAGCCAAGCATGAAAACAATTTCTGCCCATACGAAGCTTATATACTGTCTCCTTTGGTGTTCTGTTACTTCGAGGATGCTATTATTCATCTTAATTAGTTCCTTCATTGCCTCTTAATGATTTTCCAAGCAAGTGTCAGATCTATACGTACCATGATTTGGTCTCCTCTTTGCCAATACCTTTTCCTTAATTCCTCTAATTTCTTTCTCTTGTTTTGTTAGGGTAGCTAGAATTTTGATCGCTATGTTAAATATTAGGAAAGAGAGATAGCATCTTTGTTTCAACTCTACACTTTTGGGGAAATTTTTCTCTATTAAAATTAACATTGTGCTGTTCGGCCGTTTTTCAGTCTTTTCCTACTCTTTGCTGACCCCATCTGGGGTTTTCTTGGCAGAGATACTGGAGTAGTTTGCCATTTCCTTCTCCAGCTCATTTTACAGATAAGAAAACTGAGGCAAACAGGGTTAAGTGACTTGCCCTGGGTCACACAGCTACTAAGTAAGTGTCTGAGGCTGGATTTGAACTCAGGTCTTCTTTACTCTAGGCTCAGCATTCTATCCACTGTGCCATCTGGCTGCCCTAATAATAATGTTAACTCTTGGTTTTTGCTTTTTTTTTTAATGTTGAGACATGTTAAACTTTTTCCAACATTTGTAAAAAAATGTTTAAAGTTCTGTATTTTTAAAAGACTTATGTGCATCCATGAGAGAAGGTTATGGTAGAAAACATTCTTTACGTTTTCTATCTGTGTGATTAATGGTATACTACTTAAGGTCTCCAAGCCTCAGGCAGCTTTTGAGGACTAAGTTACAGACAGGTTGTAACCTGGGCTGGCAGAGAGAGTTTCCATGTTGAGGAAGTGAAAATCTCTTGATATAGTGATGTCTTTTCTGGATCTATTGACATAATCCTGTGTTTTTTGTTGATTTTGTTATTTTATGATTAATCATGCTAATTATCTTCCTAATCACAGCCATCCTTGTGACTCTGATATAAATACAATTTGGTTAAACTGAATAATTTTTGAATATATTGCTGAAGTGTCTTTACTAGTTGTGAGGGAGGCATCAGTATTTATTATCAATGACACAACATGGAATTATGGGAAGAATGGTAGAATAATGGAGTCAAAAGACCTACATTCAATTCCTTTCTGATTCATTCTGACTGTGTGACTGCACCCCCCAGCCCCTACCACAAAGCAGGTCACTTATCTTTTACCATAAAGCTTTTCCCCAGGCAAATCCTTGAAACTGTATGTTCCAGAATATTTGCTAATCTGTTTTGATAATTTCATCACTGGGAGCTCTGTATATTTATAAAAAAAATTTTAAATGAAAAATAAAATGAAATGAAAAATTAAAAAAAATAAAAATGACCTGCTTTTTCTAACCTACCTCTTCCATGGATGATGATTTGGTTCAGGGTAAGAACAATCAGTAGGAATGATATGGCTACTTCCTAGATTGGTGCTAATTATAACCCATGCAGGACTTGTCTCCTGTATGATTCTTATCCATATCAGTGCTTAATAATAAGAAGTCCCCCTCTCCATCTGCTAGGACCTTCCCCTCTGAGATTACCCTTCATCTAATCTGTATATCTTGTATATCCCTAGTTTACATATTGTCTCCTCTATTAGAATGTGAGTAAACATCTTAACAGCTAAATTAATAAACTCACAGCTTGCTATGAGGATAAAATGAGATAATATATGGAAGCATTCTTAAGCATATTCTTATGCATATAAGAGAATGTTGTTGATAGGTTTTCCTACTTGATAGAAATTCAGATAACTGATAACTTACAATAATATGAAGACAGAATCAATTCATTGTCAGTACTTTCCATTTATTTTTGAAAAACTGTTTAACACTGAAATTTGACTGCTCAAACACTTTGTTTGGAGACAAAAAACCAAAACAAAATCAAACAATTCACATGTAGTATTGCACATAGAAGCATTGATCTGAGCAGGCTATATGTATCATCAGCTGAAGAAATTGATTTTTCTCAGCTTTAAATGGTCAATTTTTCTTTCCTATAAGTTTAGAAATAGCTATGTCATATATTGCACATTTTTGGCATTCTTATCTATTACAGACAGATTCCATCCTTTTCTCCTATTCCTTATCTCTGTACAATACTATAAATATGAGCCTAGCTATCAAAGGAAAAGGATTGTATGGATTTTTCAGCAAAATTGAAGTTTCATATAAATGAGATCACTGATTCATTTTAATATTTGAGTAAAGAAAATAAACCCTTCAATGTTTAACAAAAACATAGAAATTAGAGATTGAATGATGTTACAAGTCAATTTGCCCCTCTTAGTCTACTGACAGACTTTGAGAGATAGAGACAAAAGAGACAGAGAGACAGATATATAGAGACAGTGAGAGAGACAGAGATCCTATTCAGCTTAACATCATATTTATCAGTAAAAAACAAACAAAAAAAAAACAAAAAAAATGTATTTAGAGAGGTGCAAACTGCATTTGAACCCAGTGTCTTTGTTATGAAATATAATTTTTGGGGGGAGGGGAGGAGCGCTGAGAGGTGATGACAATTACCACATCTCCAGATTTTTACATTCAGGTTATATTCACACAGAAACTCCTTCATTTTGTGCAATGTTACCAAGTGGTCAGCAAACAATAAATAATTTTGAATTCAGTCTCGGTGCTGTTTTAGAATATTATGCTTAACAAAGGCACTATAGAAACATAAAGTGCATAGGGTCATAGATTTAAAAGGACCCTAGAAGTTTTTTAATCTAACTTCCTTGTTTTACAGATGAGGAAACACAGGCTGAGAAGTGAAATGACTTGCCGAAGGTCACATAGCTAATTGCTATCTGAGACAGGACACGAATTCAGATCTTTGTGACAATGCCCAACACTCCACCAAGTTCCATCTAGATTTTTTTTAAAGTTAACTCTTCCTCTGTAGGAGTGATTCTTAATTAATATGACTATAAGATTTTCTGGCTCACAGAAAGATTAGTCTAGGCTTCTTTATTACAGGGTTCCCCAAGACACTCCATTTCTTTCTCAGGGAATAGATGTTGAGATGATAACCTGTACTTAATAGAAACATGTAAGGTCTTTGAAAGGCAGCCTTTGTCCTGGTCTCTCCGCACTAAAGAAGGAAAAGGCCAATAGACTACTTTTGTTGTTGTTTTTTTTTTCTTCCTGAAGTTTCTAAGATTTAATATTCAAGGCTTATTGTCTTTTAAGTGTTTCTTCACCATGGATACCAGATGGACAGAAAGCAAGTATTGAATTCATTCATTTTTCAAACAATTGGGCACATGGTGAAAGTGTCCTTATTTTATCTTTGGTTTAGAGAGAGAAAGCTATTTAAAGGTTAGTCTCCTCCATAACTAGGACCACTTTGAAAATAGTCATCTAGTCCTCCATCTCCATTGTAAACACCTCCAGATCTAAGACCACTTCCATTATCCATCAGATTCTTCTTTAAAATGACTTCCTGGACTTGATCCAAACTTTCCATGACCATAGGAATCTCCCAAACCAAAATCTCCTCATCTTCTTCTCTTAGAACTTTCAACATGAACTGGATTATCCTGGTCCTATAAGAGGTTTTCACTGCTGTCTGAGAATCCATCCACTTTATTAATTTTCTCTCTAGGCATGGACTCTGGGCCTGGGGTGGCTGCTAGAAATCTCTGCAGGAGAAATTCTCCAAGGTGTTTGTGTGCATTTATTAGAATATATATATATATGTGTGTGTGTATATATATATATATATATGTGTGTATATATATATGTATGTATGTATGTATGTTTCCCCTTTAGCATTTTGGTAGCACTTAAGCCTTGTAGTAAGCTGCTGTTGAAGTTGTTGGATTTTTTTCATCCTCTTACTTCCCTTCTTTCTTAATTCGCTCTACTGCATTCAGCAGGTGCTTATTCATATAGCTATCTGATCATATCCTCTGGTTCTTGATCTGATGGTGATGATATCTTATAAGTCATTTCCATCCAGAGACATTTCAGCCTAAGCAGCTGGGCTTTTATAGCAAAGCAGTCTTTAACCACGTCCTAGAGAGACATCTTATCAAGCATCGTAGTGTGCTCAGGTATCAGTCAGGTATCAATATCAGGGAAACTAGGTAAAGACTGGTCCCTCTAGGGCTTTCCAAATGACTCAAGAGATTTCCCAAGTCTCTTACCAATAGAGAAGAGAATGAATGTCTTTAAGGAGAAATTCTTACATGGAGTAAGCAAACCCACTGAGAGACTAGTTTCTTTGAGTTCCAATCACATCCACAATAACGTACTCTCAGTGTTTGGTGGGTTTGCTACAGATCCAGTGTAGCTCTTTCTGGCAGTTGACGCTGCTGACCTCAGTACTTTTAAGGTATGCACAGTTCCCTGATCCTGTGAGGTTGAACCTATAATGGATGAAAGAAGGCCAGAATTAGTGTCAACAGTAAAGGGAGTTAATTTATGGCAACAGAGGCATTTCAAAAAACAAACTAGCGATCTGAGCAATCAGACCATTGAAGAAAACGAAGAGAGGCCTATCCATCCTTCGAGCCAGCTAGGTGGTACAATGTATAGATCACTGGGCCTAGAGGCAAGAAGTCTTGAGCTACATGGTGGAAAATGCTATCCACATCCAGAGAGAACTATGAAGTTTGAATGCAGATCGAAGCATACTGTTTGCTCTTTTTTTTCTTCTGTTTTGTTTTGTTTCTTCTTTCTTGTGGTTCCTCCTATTGGTTCTACATGACTAATGTGAAAATATTTTTAATAGGAATGTATATGTAGAGCCTATAACAGATTGCACACCATCTTGGGGAGGGAGGTGGGAAGGGAGAGGGAGAAAATGTAAAACTGAAAAGCTAATGGAAGTGATTGTTGAAAACTAAAAATAAATGAATTAATTAAAAATATTTTGATAACTAAAAAAAAAGAAGTCTTGAGCTAAAATCCAGCCTTAGACACTTATTAGGTATGTGATTTTTTGGCTAGTCACTTAAACTCTGCCTCAATTTCCTCAACTGTAAAATGGAGACAGTAACAGCACCTACCTCCCAGGGTTGTTGTGAGGATCAGGTGAGATAATAGGTGTAAAGTGTGTTAAGCACAGTGCTAGGCACATAGTAGGTGCTATATAAATACTTATTCCCTTCCCATACCCTTGAAGAAAAGGTATAGAAATGGATTTGAAGTACTGAATTGTTTTATCTGGCATAACAGAGATTTTAATTTCTCATCACCCAAACTAATATGAGCTGTATCATGAACTTATGAAAGATCTCTAAAAATGTCAAATTTCTCTTTGCTAAAGAAACAAATTCAATTCAATCACACTTTCCAAGGGCAATGTCACCAGTTACTCAGGGTCAAAACCTTGCATTCATCCTCAGTTCCCCTCTTTCTGCCTCCCCTCTCTCCAGATATAATTAGTTGCCAGGTGTTGTTAATTCTACCACCACAACAACTCTTACATCTATGATAGTTCTCTCCATTCACACATACGGGAGTTTATTTCAAATCTTTATCAACTCTTCCTTCAGCCATTTTTCAGTTGTGTCTGACCCTTCATGACTTCATTCGGGGTTTTCTTGGCAAAGATACTAGAGTGGTTTGCCATTTACTTCTCTAGCTCATTTTACAGATGAGGAAACTGAGGCAAACAGGGTTACGTGACTTGCCCAGGATCAAACAGCTAGGAAGTGCCTGAGGCCAGATTTGAACTCAAGAAGATGAGTCTTCCTGACTCCAGGCCTGATGCTCCTATATACTGCATTGAGGGGATGGAGGTGAAGTTCCAATAACTTGATTAATCAAGAAAGGCCCTTTGTAGGATCTGACATTTGAATTTATCCTTGCAGATTGAAGGGGGTTCTAAGAGAAGTGGGAGAACATTCTAGGCCTGGGGAAAGACCTATGCAAAGACACAGATGTGGAAGGTGGATAAATCCCTTCCCTTTTCTGGCCTCATTTGTCCCTTTCAGCTCTAAAAATTTATGTTATAAGATCTTAGACCAGCTAGGTGGCACCATAGTGCACAGAGCACTGGCCCTAGAGTCCGGAGGACCTGAGTTCAAATACGGCCTCAGATACTTACTAGCTGTGTGACCCTGGGCAAGTCACTTAACCTTGATTGCCTCCCCTAAATCTTAGATCTAGAGTTCACAGAGACCATAGAGGATGCCTGGTCCAATCCTGTCATTTCATAGAAAACTCTATGAAGTAGGGGTATGTTGAACATATATACATGGAATGGAATAGCGTCGATCTTTTTTTTTTTTTAAGAAATCAAAATCTTGTTCAAAATAGTACTTTGAAAAAGGGAAAGGAAATGATTCCCTACTTATTCTTCTCAACCCCAGCAATGAGAGAATAAATTTCCATCTCAGAACTCACCAGCCGTTGAATTCCTTGCCATTTGTCCATCGCCATGCCTGGCCTCTTTCGTTTCTCAGTCCAATCCAGTGCTCAACATTGCTCGCATATCGTTTGAGAAAAATCTTGAAGAAAGCACATGGGAAGCCATTGTTTTATACTCCAAATAAGTGTGTAATTGAGAAACTGGTTGGTTTCATATGAAATCCTCCTCCCAAACACTGGAGTGATCTTTTCAATGTGTACTGTGAACACAGGGGGTCACACCTTGCAATCATGATAATGACAAAGGGGAGTTAATTCTTATTTTTGGAATCCATAGCATTGAGCTATCTACTGAAATGAGCACTGCAAAGAGTCAATTAGTCTAGCAGAATTTAACAATATTTACTGACTGGCCACTGCATGCTGAACCCTGGTGCATTTGACCAACTCTTCATAGGCCCAAGACACAACCAGTACTTAGAAATTAGTAACACTAAGGCATTGGTCAAATTATGAAGATAGCAAAGTTTGTCTCTGGTGTGTCCAGTCTTCCTATCCTGACTTTTTTCCCAATTCCTTCCAAGGTTTTGTGGTGCTCCTCCTTAATCCTTTCTTGCTTTATTTTTATCTATGAACTGCTCTCAAATGTTTTCTGCACACATAAATGCAAATATATGGCTTAAAGTGTTACCCTTCCGAAGGTAATATGTATTTTTTGACAATGATAGAAGGTCTATGCTAAAAGAATGAAACATAAGCTGAAAAGACAGGAGGAATAAATTGTAATTTAAGGGGGTGGGGTGGGGCGTGTAATATAATCACCAATAGACCAGTAACTTAGGCCTATGATCTTGTCCCTTGGCATATAAGACAAAGCAAATGTAAGGCAGCTAGAGAATTCTGTAAAGAGCACTGGATCTGTGTTAAGAAGATCTGAACTTGAATTTTAGCTACCAATTAAGAGCTATGTAAACACTGACAAATCACTTTTCCACTCAGGCCTCAGTTTCTCCAACTGTAAAATGATGGGCTTTTGATTCAGGGCCTGGAATGCAGCACCTCCTCACTTCTACCTCTTAGAATCCCTAGTTTTCCCTCAATGCTCAGCTCAAAACCATCTCATCTTCTGAATGAGGCTTTTCCTGATATCCCCAACCATTCGTACCACTTCCTTTAAATTGCATTGTAGGTATTCTGTTATATATTTTGCATATTGCTTGCATATGTACATGTTGAATGGTCCATGTTCTCTTTCCTTATAAAATGTAAGCTCCTTGAGGGCAGAGATTGTTTCATATTTTGTCTTTATATTCTATAATGCCTAGCACAGTCCCTGGTATATAGCAGGCACTTAAAAAATACTTGTAGAGTGATCAATTAAAAGCCCATATTCCAGGGTTTTATTTAACCTTGTGTGTTCTTGTGACTCAATTTCCCTATAAGTGACATGATCAACCAACCAGCATTTATTAAGCATTTGTTATGTACCAAGCACTGTTCTATAACTAGGATTACAAAAAAGGCAAAACCAAAAAGCAGTCCTGGCTTTCAAGGAACCTACAGCCTAATGGAGAAACAACATGCAAACAATATGCAAAATCTTCCTTCATAGGCAAGCTATGTGTATCCACAAATAAGAATGATTTAAAAAAACCCTAACATTATAAAATACCTATTTTCATATAGCAAAGTCTTACCAGGTCTTTCTTAGAGTCAATCTGAGCAAGAGTTGAATCATGGGAAGAGCAGGCAGTTTGGCTGGTGGACCAGCTCCCTGTAGTGCTGGAAAAGATGTAACATTTGCCTTGGTATCCAATCCAGGAATCTGGGCATGAGGAAGCAGGAAGATCCAATGGCATCGATGTCACCGATGGAGATGTATTTTGCCTTACATATTTTCCAGGACAGTTGTATTGGCCCACTGCAAATAAAGTCATTAGATATTTTTACAGTGATAATATATACCTCTATGGAACCATATGGCCTGTGTGCTGTGCTAAGTGATAAAATGAAGAGTAGGATTGATGAGAGTGTTCCTTCACAGGAGTAAGGGGCAAATAACCCTCTGTCCAGTGGCATAAGGATGTCATTCCCCTTTGCCCCCAAAATAATGCTCATCCAAGAGTCAAATAGGGTGTTCCGTGTAGTGTCTCCGACCAAAGATGCCAGGTAGTAAATGGTAAAAAGGGAAAGGTTGAGCATACAGTTTGTTCCAACTCAGAATAGCTTTCCCTGGTCACTATGTCTCCCCCTGCTAGAGTGTAATTTTCTTGAGTGCAGAGAATATCTTTTTTATATTCATATCCCCAAAATTTAGTACAGTGCTTGACACAAAATTAATGTACCCTTAATAAAAATGTTTAATCATCCATTCATTCATCCACCCAAACAACTCATTCCTTAATCATTCTGGATAACTAGGAAGTTGCTGTAGGAAAGGGGCTATAACCGAATCCAAAAAGAGCTCACCCACCTGACAAGGCAATTATTGTTATGACCAAAGTGACAATAATGATGACAGCAAGAACAGCACATGGAACAGGAACCTGTAGGGAGCCATCTGACTTGGTGGTCATCATGGAATTCCTGGTCTGTACTGAAAGAAAGGAAATCAGTGATCAGCCAAGTCACGGAAGCAGTTGATGTTTTGGGCATCTATCGTGTCACTGATAAACAAACATGCCTCCCTTGGCTCCTGGCCTAACTAGCTAATTTACTTATCTGTCTTTTGGTGTCTGGGGTTGAGAAGATTCTTGGAAAGACATTTGGACAAAAATAAAGGGAGTCAGACAAGACTCTAATTTATGCCCTAGGTTTAGGAAAATAACAACTTATTTTTAAATAATATGAATTTTAATAATTAAGTGCCTCCTTAAGCAAGGTGCTGGGGATACAAAGCCAGAACAAACTAGCAAACAAACCACCAAAACAGTCCCTGCCCTGAAAAGACTTACCTCCAATGGCAGTCATACTTACACAAAGATAAGTAAATTCAGGTAGAGTCAAATACCCAAATGCATTTGTGATCCTATCCATTTGGAAGCTCCCTCCAAAGATGCAGATTATAGCTCATCCATTCCAGCTCTAGGTTTATGAAAAGATTAGACTGGCTATATATTTTTTTTTATTCTTTTGGTGAAGATAAAGGAAGGTCTCTTAAAAACCCAAATCTACAAAGAAGACTTCAGTGGTTGTTGTTTTTTAATGTGCTAGGGTCCGTATCATTGAGCTATTTACTATAATGAATAGCATAAAGGGTCAACTAGTCTAATGGAATTTAATAATATTTACTGACTGGCCACTATACTCTAAACCTTGTTGCATTCAACCAACTTTATATAAAGAAACTGTGCTTAATTTTTTAAAGAGGTGAAACACTGAAAAGAAGTCTCCAAAATTTAAAAAAAAAATCTTTTTACTGATAATGTTTTAAAACAACACTTATATGGCACTTTAGTATTTGTACAACACTTTTTTTTCACATTAGCTCCATGAGGCAAGTAGTAATTATGATTATCCTGAATTTATAATTTAGGAATTATACACAAGTGCTAAGTATCAGAACCAGGATTTGAACCTGAGTAGTCTCACTTTAAATACATGGCTTTCCCTGACCCCAACCCCTTTAATACCAATGTTCTTTCTTTCTATAATAAAGCTAGAGTGGTCCACTCAACATCATGATAAAGTGAGGAAGCAGCCCTCCAAAGACTCTGAGTGGAGCCCTCATGGCAAATTTATGAGAGGAAATGGACAAGAATCCCATAGGATGAGCTGGCATGGATGAACTATAATCTGCATCTTCGGAGGGAGCTTCCGATGCATTTGAGTGTTTGAGTCTACCTGAGTTTACTTATCTTTGTGCAAGTATGGTTCCCATTGGATGTAAGTCTTTTCAGGTCAGGGACTGTTTTGGTGGTTTGTTTGCTAGTTTGTTCTGGCTTTGGATCCCAAGTACCTTGCTTAAGGAGGCACTTAATCAATTATTAAAATTCATATTATTTAAAAATAAGTTGTTATAAACCATTAAACAAGCACTTAATAAATGCTTGCTGAATTAAGTTAAAGTGAGTTTTACTTGTGCAGATGACTTTTGTAACTGAAAATCATAAGTCAGTAGGCAACATTTCTGGAAATCACAGTGGTTTTTTCAGTGATGGTTTTTATTTATTGTTGTTGGTTTTTTCTCATTGTTATTACAGCTTCAAAAGCTCAATGTTCAGCTTTCACCATGGATGAACATGACCTGTTGCTTCTTTGAGGTTTATTTATTTGTTTTTCCATCTATACCCATACATAGGTGAAAAATTAGAGGTGAAAAATTCATACAGTGCCTTTTGGTCTCCATAGGACCTTTTTATACATTATCTTATTTAATCTTCAAAAGAATCCTGTGGATTTGGTTGTGCAGGTATTATTACTCTCATTTTACAGTATTGCTGTCACTTCTGTCCTGTGTGATTCTATCTTCTCTGAGCCTCTCTAGGCTGATATTTCTTTCGCACTCCTACAAGGGCTGCATCACTGGATGCAGCTTTCAGACTGTACATTAACAATTTCAGAGTTCTTTTTAGGTTGGTTTCATTTCTCACCTTCTGATAGCCACTGACACTGCTGCCTCTCTAACCACAATGTCAGACTAGGTTTCATAGCATGTCTTCAATCACTTGAATGCTTCCCTTCATCCCCCTCCTCTTTCCAACCCATATCAGCTCAGCTGCAGTAACCGTGAATGAGCAAAAGATCAAAGTGACAGGGAGCACATAACTGATCTTATCATTGGATACATGGTTCAGTTTTGAGCTACTTTGACCCACAGTTCAGCTCATATCACAGGTGAATTCCCACTATCCCAACATCATTTCTGAGAACCTTTCAGAAACTTTCTAAAGGTTCTTTCTGGAACAGATGTGAAAAAAGACAAGAAAATCCCCCTCTCACACATATTTTCTATAAAATCCCCCAAGAATGATGTTTAATTGTCCAGATCAACTAGATAGCCAAAAAGAGATGGAGACAGGGACTATGGATTCACCAGTCAATTGATTGTGTCAGGTCAGTTAGAGTTCTTGAGCTGGCCCCCAGGTATTTCCCCTCCTCTGAACCTAGCCATCTCTTCCTTTATAATTTGCTGCTCAGTTTGGGTTAAAAAGAATTGGTGTACCTGCTTCACTGAAATGGTGATATGACTTACAGGAATAACTTGGCTTTGACTTCTGGTCTTCAGTCAGTCAAGGACTGCTTGTTCAATGTCTAGAAATGCCTTTACACAACACAGTAGTTTGATATTTGAAGACTTCAAGAGAATTTTCTCAGTTTTACTCTTCCTACAATAGGCTCTATGACTGAATAGTTTTTAGATATGGTAGCACCCTTGTTCCCAATTTCCTAAGTTCCTCTTGGCTGTGATGGGAGGAAGAAGGGAAGATGAATGAGAGCTTCAAGAGGAGGTTTTCAAAAATATGAATGAAAATAACAAAACCCTAAAGATATGAATGTTTCAGAAAGAGAACAGTCTGGGAAAGGAAAGGATAGAAATAAAAGAAGTAGATACAGAAAAAAAAACAATGAGAAAGAAGGAGAAGATGTGGATTCAAATGTTTTCAATGAGAGGATGAATGAAAAAAAAAACCAGATATATCATGTAGAAATAGATGATGATGAAGAAGAAAATGAAACAAAACTATCAGGGAGGTGCCAATTCAGACAATTCTTTCATGTCAATTTTCCTGCAGATTGCATTTGCCTGTGTGGCTGTGCAAGGCAGGATTCCTGCTCACCTCTTGTCCTGGAAGCAGATAGAGGAAGCTGGCAGAGGATGGGACACTTGAAAAGGCAGAAGAAATGAAGAGAGCTAGTCAAAAGTGGAGGTTAATAGTAAGGAAAAAAGAAATAGTACCCATTGAGATAGGAAGCATCAAATTTCCTGAAATGATCATCTGGGCTGAGCAGGTGGAAGTATCAGGAGAAATTATGTGGATTGGGGGAAGGAGGGATGAAGTGAGAGAAACCAAGCAACCGATCAATCAACCAAGGTGATTTGAGTTGAGACCGTGAAAACATTCTTGAGAATATCTATCTTTCTAGAACTTTCTCACACCTCAGACACTTCCACATATATAAATCTTTTTCCAAGGCTTTCCTATATCACTCTGACTGAAGCAGGTCTGGATCCAGGCTTAAATATATATATTGATGATGACAGCGGGGACAGGAGAAGACAACTGTCATTTTCCTAATTGAGTTAATGTCATTATGTATACAAATCTCTCTCCATTCTTCTCTTGTTCATTCTTATAATTTCTATTTAAAAGATTTTAGTTTAAAAAGATAAAATCTGGCTTACTTTGAATTCCTCTTTCCATGTGCAAGGAACTGTTTTCTTCTCCAGAAAGTTCTTCTCTTGTTTGCATCTTTCTCGTTCACGATCTCTTGACAGATCCCAAGTGTAGCCCTTGCTGAGGTTCTTGTGCCTGTGTTGATACTCAGAACAGACACAGTCACTTATATTCCGTTATATTATCTCCGCCCCCTTTTTCATTTCCTCCTTCCCCAATTCATCTTTAATTTACGGTTCAGTGGCCCAGACACTGTTCATGTTGTATGGTGAGGGTGTGGTTTTCCCATTAAGTCTGAACCCTTCTTCCTCATGGCTGTAGGTATAACAGGAGGGGCTTGAAAACAGAGAATCTCTTGCTTTTAATGGGTCAGATCAAAAGAAACTCTCAAGAGCTGGGGAGAAAGATAGGTTAGGAGACAATAGAACTCAGTTGATTTGGGATAAATGGTTGCACATGTTAGATATGAGTTCCAGTTTTGACCACATAATTTCCATCTTTTTCCTCTCTCTGTGCCTCAATTTTACAATCTGTAAAAATTAAGAGAACTCTTTATGCATATATGATCCTCTTCTTTGAAGAGATCTAAAGCAAATTTATTGAGCTCTTGATTAATAGTTTAAATCTAGGGAAGGCCTTAGTTAAGATACAAATAGTTTACCTAGGAGGTGGAGTAAATTGACTCATTATCACTCAGTGACCTATTAGCATGAGGTAGTTTTCAGATTAGCCTGCTGTCATGATCATATTTCATATCTTGGCTTCAGATTAGTTAGCTATCACCTAAATGACCTGAGAGAATAGGGCAAAGAACAGATACCTTTAAAAGCAGTAATGAGATTCACAAAGCATAGAGTGCCAAGGTAAGAAAAAGTCAAAGAGAACTCTGAGGACACTTATTGAGCACCTGCTGTGTATAAGGCATCATAATAATCCTTTGTGCATTTGTATTCTACAATGTGAATAGAATAAGTAGTGTCTTACTTTATAGTGGTGTTCCTGAAAAATATAGTTGAATTAGTTGGTAATAGGATATATCTTCTCCCCCATCCAAAAGTCATTTTTCTTACTGACTATAAGATTTGTCCTCCCCTCATCTCACCAAAGAGATTGTAAGATCCTTGAAAGTAGACACTGTCACTAAAAAAAAAAAGTATCCCCTGTACCCTACACACCATAGGCAAGTAATGAATGTTTATTGAACAAAAGGTCTGAATTTGCTGGTTAGCCTAGAAATGGCTAACAATAAGTTCTTTTCCTCTTCTGTAAATACTGAAGTTTAAACCCAAATAGAAGTTCTTGACAAGAATTAACATAGATATTTTTAAGGGTTGATAATGCCAGGACACAGTACAGTTCCATCTTAGTCAATGAGAGAGGCTACATGTCCTTATATGGAGAATCCGGTGGAGCAGCTTGTTAAGGAAATGAAGTAATAGCAGTTTGATGCAAAGCAGGGCAGTGAAGCCAGGATATGATATCTGATCATGACAGCAGCTGGAACAGGATGGCACATACACAAAAGACCACAAAACATTTGACCAAAGTAAGCTTCCGGAGTCAACCTGTTCATCAGTTTCCTATTCTCAGTTTGATCTTCTGTAGGTAAAATCAGCTTGTTCAATTGAATTTGAATCTTCCTGTAAATCTGAATTCCATTTATGTTGCTTTGTTTTTCTTCTGAAGTGAATACAAGTGACTCTAAATTGAGTCATATGTCTCTTCTAAATCTACAAGGGTAACTTGAGGTTGGGTTCTGGAGCAGGATCCCTAGAACCTGTGTGGTAAGAAAAAGGGGGATTTTAGAGTCCACATTTCCTCCTACACTCCCACTCTGACCCTCAGTAATCACTTTCATGTTTTCCTCTAGGGTGAAAATTTCCCTACCTAACTTGAACCCACAGAAATGCATTTCAAAAGTGTGAGCTATTATGTTTCTCTCTTCCTGCCTTGGAAGAATGAAAGAAGTACCTTAAACCCAACAAGCTGAATATTTTTGCCTCAGTAGACTTCACAAAGGGAAATGAAAGCATAGAAAATCTCGAATGAGCTTTGGAGTGGTTATATTCTCAAAAGACTCATCTAGATAATGATATGGTATAAAATTTGTAAGCAATATGAATTGATTTTTACTCTGGCCCTGTTTGAAGACTGGAGGCTATAGCATATGACTTTTCCAGCCAAAGTCTCTTCAAATCAGTCATTCAATTAAAAGACTATAGAAACTGGTTAGGGGGCAGCTAGGTGGCACAGTGGATAGAGCACTGGCCCTGAAGTTAGGAGGACCTGAGTTCAAATCCGGCCTCAGACCAAACACTTGACACTAGCTGTGTGATCTTGGGCAAGTCACTTAACCCCAATTGCCTAAAAAAAAGAAAAGAAAAAGAAACTGGTTAGGTTGTTTGCTTGCTTCATTCTGCCTCACCCTTAACCCCAATCAACTCCAGATGAGGAGAAGGGCTCAAGTCACAGAACCATTTGGATTTTTTTCTTCATATCCCCAATACTTAGCCCAGTGCCCGGCACAGAGTAGGCATTGTAGGCATAGAAGGCAGACTTAATGGATGCTAGTCAATTGACTGATTAAAAGAATGGACAGTAATAAGGGAGAAGGGTCTTCTCTACAATTGTTTGTAGTAAGGAAAAATGGATATTGTAGGACAAATACATGTCATTTTAAACAAATAATAAAATGGAATGAATTTGTTGTTATTTCACTTTTAAGCTACAAAGGCCCAGAAAGAACTCTCCAGGTAGAACTATAACCCAAACTATTCTTTAAAAAGTTCTCTACCCTTTGGAATTTCTTTAAAGATGGAAAATTGTATTGAAGGAATTGAGTCATTGGATCCCCCTCAATACCAGTGTCTTCCCTCTCTTAGTTATTTCCTATTTGTCCTGTCTATATTCTGTTCATATATAATTGTTTTTCATGTTGTCTACTTCCATTAGATTATAAGCTCTTTGAGGGCAGGGACTTTTTGCCTTTTTTTTTTTTGTATCCACAGCACTTAGCACAGTGCTTGGCACATAGTTCATCCTTAATAAATGTTTATTGACTGACTGGCTCTAAAATAAAATGAACTAAAATGACATGGGATAGTAGAAGAGATAAATACAAGTAAAAGTTGAACTGGACCCACTTCCTTGTTCCCCATTGTCACTGCAAAGAAGGGTTACAGGGAAAGAGGAGAATGAAATACAAGGACCTTTCCCACTAGACAGCAGAAGTGTGTGACAAGAATAGAAACAAAATATCATGATCCCACAACTGTTTTTTTTTTTGTCAGAGCATAGCCCTGGGTTTGCCCTTATCTGCACTAGTTTCTCTGTATCACTACAGTGCTAACTCTCTTTCGCAGGAGATTTTCTGAATAATCCTTCAAGATAGGTAGGAGAGGGGCATCTAGGTGGCACAATGGATAGAGCACCAGCCCTGAGTCAGGAGAACCTGAGTTCAAATCTGGCCTCAGACCCTTGATCTTTACTAGCTGTGTGACCCTAGGCAAGTCACTTATCCCCATTGCCTAGCAAAAAACAACAACAATAACAACAAAAAACAAGATAGGTAGGAGAGTTATTATTATGCCCAGTTCACAGATGAAGAAACTGAGGTTCAGAGTAGTGAATTCCACAAGGCTATGAAGCTAGTATATATCTAAACCAGGACTAGAACCCTGTTCTTCTGATCCATTCTTTAATCAATCAATCAATCAACATACATTAGGGACCTGCTACCTGCCGGTACTATGCTAAGTGCAGAGGATACAAAAGGAAACAAAAGACAAGTCCCTTTTCTGAGGGAGCTTACAATCTAATGTCAGAGACAACATGTAAACAAATTTATACAAAGCAAGCCATATACAGGATAATAGAAAATCCTTAACAGAAGGAAGGAACTGGAATTAAGAAGGGTTGGGGAAGAGTTCCTGAAGAAGGTAGGTTTTAGTTGGGGCTTAAAGGCAGCCAGGGAGATCAGTAGTGTGAGCAGAGGAGAGAGAGTGTTCCAGACCTGGGGAAAGCCCAAGAAAATGCCTGGAGCTGAGAGATAAAAGTGTCCTGTTCCTGGAACAGCCAGGAGGCCAATGTCACTGGACTGAAGAGTACTTTCTGGGGAGTGATATATTTTGTTCTTCTTTCTCCAAGAGGACCATGACATCAGGAAAGTGATGTCACGACTTGTAAGTTAATTGGATTTAAGTGAGAGAGGGCTATACAAAGTCACCAACCTCACTTTCTCTTCTGGGGCCATCTGGGTCCAGTGGTAAGATATAGATCAGGATGACTGGAGATGGCCCTGGATGCAGTGGGAGACCTTGACCTTATTAAGCTAAGGTCTTTCCCAGGTCTCAGTTTCGATGAGGCAATGCCCATTCAGTGATTAAGGCTTAGTAGTGGTTGTGTGGAGATGGCCCAGTTAAGGCTAGGTAAGAAATGAGGCAAAGAATGGCCTCTTTTACCTAGTTAAAAAAAAAATCAATCTGGGGCAGGGCGGGGAAGGGGGGGGAAGACTCTTGGTCTTTCTGGCCAATACAGAAGCAATTGCTATTTATACACTGAGTCATCAGAGCCAAAGTAATGACCAAGTGAGGCTTGGGCCGAGGGAGTGATGTGTAAGAAGCCTGGAAAGATAAGAAGGGCTTTGAATGCTAAACAAAAGATTTTGTATTTGATCCTGGAGGCAATAGGGAGCCACTGGAGTATGGGGGAGGAGAGATGGTGGGGGGGTGATATGATCAAATATGCACTTCAGGAAAATCAATTTAGTGACTGAATGGCAGCTGGATTTGAGTGGGGAGAGCCTAGAGACAAAAAGACCCAGGCTATTGTCCAGACATGAAGTGATGAGAACCTTTATTAGAATGGTGGCAGTGTTAGGGATATGTTGGGGAGATGTTGCAGAGGTGGAATTGACAGGTATTGGTAGCAGCTTGAATATGGGGGGTGGGGTGAGATAGTGAGGAATCCAGGATGACCCCTAGGTCCTGAGGGACTGGGAGGAAGGTATTGCCTTCTACAGCAATAGGGAAGGTCAAGAAGTGAGGGTTTAGGAAGAAAGATAATGAATTCTGTCTTGGACATGTTGAGTTTAAGATGTCTACTTGATGTCTAGTTTGAGACGTGTGAAAGGCAATTAGAGATGTGAGATCAGGAAAGGTAGATT